TGTTTATTTTAAATGGTGTTTGATGTTTTAAATAAAATTTGAGTTTCAAGTTTTTATTTAAATAATTCCGCATTATGAAATGATATCGGTAACACCCCAGAGTTTAAGTCGATAAAATTTGGGGCGTTACATTTGCCTTTACAGATTCTTGTACCCATTGCTAATGGAACCAAGGAGATGGAAGCTGTTATAATAATAGATGTACTACGACGAGCAAAAGCTGAAGTGGTGGTGGCATCTGTTGAAGATAAATTAGAAATCCTGGCTTCCAGGAAAGTTAAACTAGTAGCAGATGTTCTTCTAGATCAGGCTCTAAAACGTTCTTACGACTTTATTGTTTTGCCTGTAAGTGCAGGACCTTTATCATCATTTGTGGTTGTAGATTAAAAATAAAACCTCATAATCTAAGAGATAATTACTGTTGAAAGAACTAGTAAACATAATAGCCTCAGATCTTAAGTTCATCATAGGCTATGTTAGGAAGACATCAGATCAGTGAAAGCATCAGTTCATCACAGGCCTCAGACCTGTGTAGGGTCCATTCATCATAGGCCACTTTAGGTAAAAAAGGAGCAGCTGTATTCAGAGAAGTAGCTACTCTACTTTAAACCAATTTCTTGTATTGTACAGTAGGTCAACATTAGCATAGAACATAGGCAACCGTTGCTTATCCTTCTATATAAGCTACCACTATTCTCCCATTGTAAATTAGAATACATAACAATACAACTATTGTTCATCATATTTACTACTGAAATTCATCAATTACCGTCACGTGTTACTCTTATGCAGGGCGGACTTGGTGGTGCACAAGTCTTTGCCAACTCAGAGAAGCTCGTAAATTCGCTGAAGAAGCAAAGGGAAGCAAATAAACCCTATGGGGCAATATGTGCTTCCACAGCTTTAGTCCTTGAGCCCCATGGCTTGTTGAAGGTACCATTTATTGTAGAATTCCTCTTTTGCCCTGCCAAAATTCTGTGTCGTCTTCTCTCATCGCGGTGTCTACACAAGGTAAGAAGGCCACTGCTTTCCCAGCAATGTGCAACAAACTGTCGGATCCAAGCGAAGCAGAAAACCGAGTTGTGGTCGATGGCAATCTCATCACTAGCAGAGGTCCGGGAACTACCATGGAGTTCTCTTTGGTGATCACAGAGAAACTATTCGGACGAGAGAAAGCACTAGAGCTTGCCAAGACTATGCTTTTTGTAAAGCAGTAGAGCCTGTAGCACACGCCTCTGGTAACACCTCGACTCTCTCGATGGGTAGCGTCTTTCAAATGAAGTTGACAGTGTGAGTTTGCTGTGTAATCTTTTTAAGCTATTACGAAGTAATAAATGGTCCTTTTGTAGAGGGAAATGTTCTGTATTCTGGGCTTGTCGTTTTGACATCATTATCGACTATTATTTCGAATACATATATGTTTGATAGTGACCTTTTTTTTTTTTTTGGTTCATCGTACTTCATTGACAATAAACAATTATATTAAACTAGAAGTTTAAATACCAACATAATTGAGAAAAAGTTTGAGGTACGGATTATGAAATTAGAGTAACTAATTAATTATTGATATTTGGCATTGAAAAATATAAGCAGTTTGGATTATGAAATTAGAGTGACATATTTTTGTATTAAAATTTTATTTTATTTTGAAAGTTAATATTGTAATTTATCTGACAATAGTTTAAATTAAAAATATTTATATTTATTTTTAAGTAGTTTTGTTTGATTTCAAAACTTGGTTAAAATTTCGAAATCTAAACTATATCATATTAGAATGATTTGACTTGTATTCAAGTCGTTTCGTTAATGGGTAGTGATATTAAATTGTCGATTTCAAAAAAGCGATTTTTAAGTTGTCTTTCTCGATTATTCCTAAACAAAGAGCCCTTTTGATTTTCATTATTGTAGAATGAGAATGAAAAATATAGTCGTTACTGAGCCTCATATAAGAGATAAAAATTCAAAATTGATGACTCGATGTGATGGATAACGGTAATATTTTTCATTTTTATGGATGAAAAATTGGAATCAAATGGGTTCCTAAAAACATGCAGATGCTTCTTTATTTTTGTCGCAAAAACTTAAATTTGTCAAAAAGGATTGCGCAATAAAATTCAAAAATAACTAGTTTGGAGTATAATACCACTCAATTCCCCTAAAATTTCTTGAACCATGCTATGGATACATAGAAGTACACATAGGAGTTCACATAATGTGAGTGGGGGTGGGGCCCATGCTACAGTAACGTGGTCCCCACCCCACTCACATTATATGAAGCTCTATGTGTACATCTATGTACAACAAGAATAATCCAAATTTCTTTTGCCATCGTGAACAGACGTTCGTCACTAGGTATTTCCCTGATTTTATTATTAATCACCGTTTTTTTTTTAAAATTATTTTGTTTTAATTATTTTCCCAGTTACAAATCTCATAATTTTATGAGTAGACACAGCCTTGCAATTTTGACTTTAGACAAATTCAGATTGAATTTATGACTTTTTCAAAATTTCTACAATCGCGTGATATATTCTCTTTTTGCAATTACATTCTTCTTTGAAAAAATCAATCATGTCGACACTTTCACCTTCTGCTGTTTTACGGGAATTAAAATTAGTTTTTTAGTAAATTTTGATAAAATTTGATAAAATGTATGATTGAAAAGTTGTAAACCTCATTAAATGTGTGGTTAAAATTAATTATTGACTTTAATTTCCACGAAAACATAAGCGAGAGCTAAAATTATCGAATTCTTGTATAATGAACTGAAAAAATGGTTAACTTATTCCCACTTATTGAAGGGTTGTTTGAAAAGTTTTAGTAGTTTTTTTATAAAAGTGGATGAAATTTGTGTGTTTCATGAAATGTGCGATTAATCAATTATTAACCTTGACATAAGCTTTTAAGCAATTTTTTAAGTTATCCCAAACAAGCACTTTTTATGCTCGAGTGTCAATTGAACGTATATGTTAAACCAAGTTTTAAAATTTTGAAAAATAATTTAGCTCCTGTTCGAGCACCATTTTGGTAAGAAAATTTATTTTGAAATAATGATGGAGAATGTGTGATTAAAAAAGAATAAAAAGTTTTCAATTTACGTATAAATTTATTTTAAAAGAGAATGTATGATTGAAAATGAGTTTTGAAAAAAAAAAAGAGTTTTTGAAAAAAAAAAAAAGGAAGCCTAGGCTTGATAAATTTTTTTTATGATAAGATAATTCGGTGACATATATGTGGTGAGTAATTTAAACAAGAGCTCCAATCAATACAAAAGTCTAAACAAGATATTCATCATTGTCACATCCTTAGAATTTTCAAGTGTCATTAAAGTTAAACTTTAAATCCAAGCTAGATAGGTCAATATCTCAAGCTAGATAATACCATTAAATACTTGAGGATGAGCGGTAGAGCTCGGTCTAAACACTCACATAACAACACATTGGAGCATCAATCAAGTACAACAAAGACTATGAACAATTCACATCGAGTGAATTTCTTAAATTGAACATTCTCCATATTTAAGATTTCACAGGTTAAAAAAACTACTTAAGATTTTAAAGAATCATCATTAGAGCGTTTAGATAGACAAGAAAATATTGGAATCTATATTCTTGATGATTAGACAATAATTAATATATTTAAATAATTCATATTCAAAACTTTAATTTATAGTTACAAGTAATTCTCGTACTCAAAGTTATGTCTAAGCTACAATAAATTACATGTGTACTGTACCTGTGAATAAAAAATAAAAAATAAAAATAAAAAAAAAAATAATAA